AAACTTGCAATTTCAGTCAGTGCAAGTGTTGTTAGGCCCTTAATGGGCTTCGGCAATAGCACTTGTACATTTTACAGAGTGCTGAACTGAGGCTGCTTTTGAGTATAGACTACCCTTAGCAGTGTTTCTTTCTTGGTGCCTCATTAGTGATGGAAAGAGTGCCTCCCTGGTCACTCTTGAATGTTGGGGAGTCTGGAAGTTCTTAACAAAGAGTCTCTGAAGTTCTTTGGATCGCTTCTCTTTAAACCAATCCCCACCCCCCACCCTGCAGAATCCAGTAAATGCTTTTCAGGTAATTACTGAGACTTTAGTCTGGGAGAGATCATGAGTGCTAGGAGAGTTGGGATAGAGAGTCGGTAACTCTTTGAAGGCTGTGTATGTGTTTAGATTATAAATTATGGAGTGTCCAGATACTACAGTGGTGAATACTAGTAGAATAACTGTGGCCAGTTTGACTGGGGGGAGGTATGGAGGAGGAGGCAGGTGCAGGGCATGACCAGAGCAACAGTTCTGGGAGTCACCTTTGTGATGGGGGTGCAGAAGTAGCCATTGTCACAGTGGTGGCTGATCACACTGCCACAATTGGCATGGCAGAAGCTGGTGTTACCCTAGGCACACAGCTGCACTGTTCTACCTCTGGTGAACATCATACCTACAGCGATACAAGAGCACTAAGTGACCAAATTGGTTTACCAAATAAAATACAACTGAAGACAAAGGGACTGAGTATGTAGTGGAGGGGTGGGACAAACCAATTAAGCCTCTCAAGATTTGGCTAACGGTAATTTTTTTTTTTTTTTTTTTTTAAATATGTAAGTGTTAAAATGCAAATGATTAAGAAAGCACTACTCTTATGGCCACCCTTCTCCACAACTAGCCAAAAATATCCATATCTTTGTAGTTCAAGAGTTCATTGCTAGAGTTCAAGAGGGGCCAGAACTTAGGCTGAAGCAGTGCACTTATTTTTCCCAGAAGCCTATATGAAAGAGTAGGGAGTGGAAGATTTGTGGTATCATATTGGTACCAAGCAAGGGAAGAATGTGCGAGGAGAAAATGTTTATTTTGGAATGCCTGTAAACATTCAGACTTACACTGTTTTATTTAAAGTGGTGTGCATCTCCTGTAGCCACACACAATTATGTGCAAGAAGAGCTTATTTGAATTTAGCATAAACTTCACAACTGATCATTGATCTACATGGAAACTTGCTCCAAAATACCTTTAAAAAAAAAAAAAAAAAAAAAAATCAGTACCATTTGCACCTTTGATTTTGTATGAGGACACTTATTTCAGAATAAGAGCAAACTTATTTTTAAATATGCTGTAAAGTTACATAGGCATAAGCTAAACCAATATATGCCAGATTTAAAGTAATATATCAGATATTTTTCTAACTAAGGAACCATAAGGGTCTTCAAAAGGAGGTTAGATAGGCATCTAGCTGGGGTCATCTAGACCCAGCCCTCTTTCCTGCCTATGCAGGGGGTCGGACTCGATGATCTATTGAGGTCCCTTCCGACCCTAACATCTATGAATAAGATCATACTTGCAGCTAAACTGGTGTAACTTTGTGGGTACATTGCACACTGTATATCTCTGTTTAAAACCACACCCTATATTTCAATTAAAGCCTGGCTTACTATTTAAGTGGGTGAAGATCTAACTTAAGACTTTTATTCCAAAGTAAGTGTCTACTCGCAAACTTTCACCAAAACATTAAAAGGTATAAATTAAAATAAGGTGGATGCTAGTTGTGAGTAGACCAGCTTTAAAACTTAGATGGGGAGGGGACCTTTCAACTATAAAGAACTAAAAAAGAAAAAAGAGTGCGCGCGCAAGCAAGCACCTCTAAAAAAGTCTGGTTCCTTTTCCTCTGCAGATTACCTTGAAGAATAAGCTGTTAGGTGCAACAACCATATAGTCAACACTGTAGCTCTATAATAACGAGGAAAGGGAGCCCCATTTGCTATCTAGGATTATTCAGAAATCTTTTTCTGCTGCTCTCAGCCCACTCTACCTAGAGCCAGACTTCATTTCTTGAAAGTCACTATGCACACTTAATTCTGCTATATAAGAATACCTTGAACACAATGCTTTATTAAAGTGATATAGCCTTCTCTGAAAAACTCATGCTTAAAAAAAAAAAAAAAAAAGTTTCTGGATCTAATTACACCCCGGGGAATTACACAATTATATACCTGCGCAATTCTGTGCATAAACCATATGATTTTGCATCATTTAACCTGGGCAGGTTCTGTGCCTCCACCTCTCATGTGGAAGAACCAAGCATGGTGGCACACAACTGAACAGCTGGTGAGTGGGGAGGAGAACTGCCTGCAGGATGGGATGTGGGGGTGCCCCCCCCCCAACTGGTCAGCCCACTGGCACACACCTTTGAACCAGACCAGGTTGGCTCTATGTCAGCACATGGGGCTTGCAACACCTCTGGTGGGATCTGTGTACCATCAGGCCAGGCCAGCTGACTCCATGCCTCCCTGTGGGGCTTCCAGCACTCCAGTGGGGAAGCTGCGCATAGGGACATGGAGCCAGCCCAGTCCAATGGCGCATGACTCCATGCCTCCACATGCGCTTCCCATTGGAGTGCTGGAAGCCCCATGTGGAGGCATGGAACCCACCCGGCCTAATAGCATGGCATTGCAGGCGGGAGTCACAAGCCCCACGTGCTGGCGTGGAACCAGCCCAGTCAGATCCAAAGGTGTGGGCCAGGCCAGGCCGACCCCATGCCACCATGTGCAGCCCCCAAGACTCATTACGTAACCTTGAATTTTTCTGTGCATAATTCCCTGGGGTGTATCTAATGAAAGGACCATATGAAATGGTTGGTTATATGAAATTGTAGTAACAATCAACAAACAAACATTTGAATGGAAGTGGCACAACTGGCAAAAAGAAGAGTTAAACTTTTGGCTTAGAAGTTAAGGGTCAAAATTTCAAGTGGCTTATATCACTACAGAGGAGTAATGTTGTCCTGGCAGCATAGAATCTGGCCATAGATGTAAAATCAGCTGTTAGAAAACCACCAAAATGTTCTTCTTCTCCCATGACAATTTGGAGAAAACCTGAATATGTTCTTCAGGTTTTTTATCCTAACTATTCCAGCCCTGGGCCCGCGCATGGAAACCTGAAAATGACCAATAAGTTTTTCCATGTGTAGTCAAGTCATGGAAAATGTAGACTGTTTAAATAATGGGAAAATAAAAAAAATTGAACTTTTAATGAATTTTAGTATTGTTGGTGTATTTAAAAAAAAAACAAACCTAACAAAACACTACTAGTAAGAAATAAGGAAGTTAGAAATAAGGAGAATGGCTTGCTTAACAATATTTAATCTGTTAATCTCTCCTCCGTTGGGGGAAAAAAAAAAAAATCAATTGATATTTTTATGCCCTTCTATTCTGTACCCCAAAGCAAATTTTCTGAAACACATCACTTTAGGGAGGAGGCTATTGCCCAACTGTAGTATATGCTATTTCTTTGTTCTAGAACACGCAAGAAAACCAAAAGCATGCAAGGAAATAACTGCTGAATGTTTAGCCTAGTCTGCACATAGCAGCTAGCTCTCTTGGCCATTGTTAAATTGCACTGCTTAGCAGTGTAGTGTAGAGACTCTATCTATGTGTTAACTTGCATGCTCAGAGTTCGTAGTGCTACTGCTAGCAACAACTAGATAAGCAGGCGATCAGTCACTCACAAAATACCTGCTTCTAGTGCTCTCTCACTAGCTATGTAGTGAACCCTTCTTGTCCCAGAGAGAAAGGAGCCTGTTGAATATGGTCATAAGGAGGAGGTGGGAAAACCAAGGGACCAGGAAGGCAGGACTGGAAGAAAGAAGAGATAGAAGTGGGATAGGAAAGTAGAAGGTGGAGGAAAATTAAAAGGATAAGTAATGAATATTGACTGCCTGGAAGCAATATCAGTAAAGAATTAAAGCAGCTGACTTTCTTTCAGAGTATGTGTGTCAGTCCTCAGGCTCTGGGCTATATGCTATTGTCTCAGAAGCTAATTTTCTTTCTTTCCTAGGCAATAGGTTAATAATGCTTTGCAGTTAATCTGTATAGGTTGTAGCCGTGTTGGCCTAGGGACATAGGCAGACAAGTTTCTTTGAACCTTGCAGTTAATCTGGTACTCAGTATACTTAGAGCCAGGTTCTCCACTCTGCATGAGCCTTGCCTAGGTATAATAGAAAAGGAAGGTCATGGGAATTGGTTATTGTTCCTTGATTCTTAGTCATCTGGTCCCAGCCACAGGGTAGAGCTGTACAGGCTGCACACCAAAGTGGTGTAAGATCCCTCAGTAGAGAATTTGCCAAAATGGCAACTTTTGCCACCTCAGGATATATTGTAGTTGGGAAAGCATGCCCAAATAAGATTTCCACCAAACCCTTAATCCCAAACTCATACTTTTCCCTTTTATAGTTTTTCTTTCTTCCTCTTTATAGAGCAGCACCATTTGTATTTCTGTAATCACTGCAATAGCTGGTGCTACCAGAGCACTGTAGACTTAGTAAGTCAAACCTTCCTCATTTCCTTCCCTAAGACCCAGGGCTTCACTTCTACATGACTTCTAGGTCTGGCATACAAATACTGAGGTAGCTTAAATCTCCCATTTGACTCTAGCTGTTAGGGGAGTGCTGCACAAGTGTGTGTGTGTGTGTGTGTGTGTGTGTGTGTGTGTGTGTGTGTGTGTGTGTGTGTGTGTGTGTGTGTAAGAACATTGCAAAAGATTAAAACAGTATGTTTCTCTCTCTGCACATTTGGCAGTGCACTTAAAATGACCTATGTAATCATTTAGTTAATTTTTCTGCGTATGGATGTCAGTGAGAGTTCGACAGTAGTTCAGAAACATAGGAAAGATTTGTGGCAGAACATCACAGCATGTGAAAGAAGCCCCATGACTGAAGACATAGGAAAGAAAAAATATTTCCTGTCTTTTTGGTTTTTAAAGCTAAGAACATTGTTCATTTGCTTTGTTTCCTGCAGCTATTTGATGTTGTTTCCTACTTCGCACAGCAGAATCTGCGGTTGCTTGTGCTGGGCCGAAAACACTTGAAGGATTTTCAATCCTGGAAATGGAATGCAATGACTGCCATGCAGGGGAAAGTAGATTTCTTTTTTACTGAAAATATGTAAGTATCAAAGCAAATGGCAAGTTTTTGGAAATCAAAGCCAGATTTTCATTTGTTGAAAACAGCTCCTTGTAGGACTTAACTGTCATTATTATTAAACTCTAAAGGCCTGGACAAATGCAGTACTTATATCATGCAAAGTGGCTTCACTTGATTGAGAAAAGCAAAGGGACCTGGGGACTTCCTTGGGAGAGCCCTGCTTCTTTCAGCTTGGAGAACTTCTCATAGCTGTAGGTACTCTGGCAGCAGAAGCAAACTTTTCAATCTCATTACCTATGGAGAGAGGACAAGATACAGGTGGCCATGACTAAAGTTACTACAGCCACAATATCTATTTCCAGGCAGTTGCCTGTTTGGAACTAGCAGCATGGCACAGGTCCCAAGCAAAAGACCTCATGTGCTGGTACAGAGCAGCCAGGGACACTAGCTGAAAACTTGCATGTCAGCTAGCTGACAGGAAGGAATATGGCAGGAACATGTCTGTGAATGCCAGTATTGACTAATGTTGCAGGGGTTTAGGTTGTAGCCGTGTTGGTCTAAGGACATAGGCAGACAAGGTTCCTTGGGTGAATTTGATATCTTTTATTAGACCAACCCATATAGTTGGAGAATATTGACTAATGCTTTTTTGGCTGATTTTGGCAGTGCCCAGTGCCTAGATCAGTGATTCTCAGGCTGCTGCAGCATGCTATGGTGCATTGAGAACCTTTTAAGGGAACCATGGGATGCTGTGCAATATTAGTGCTGTTAGTGTGCAAACGCTACATAGGATTCACAAAATAAACCCAGAGATTTTAAATAGGAATCTATATGGCAAAAAAACATTCTGATCTGTTGTGGTCCTTGTGAGTTCTTTATTATTTTTCTGTAGTCAAGAAACAAGTGAAAGCTAAGACCTAGCATTTTCTGAAGGGTGCTTTGAGTCTAACAAGGTGTGTCTTGAATCTAAAAAGGTTGAGAACCACTAGTCTAGGCAAACAGGGGTAGGAGAGGAAGAGAAGGTAGTAGGAAATGCTGTGAGAGCTGCTAGGAGACTGGGGGAAAAGAATGAAATACCACCAGGACCGCTTCATGAGGGAAGCAAGGAAAGTGGCACAAACACCAATATGGAAAACTGGGATCCTCCCTGTGGGAGCTTTGAAATTAAAAAGGGAGGCTGTTAAAGGCTGCAAAAGATCCTGGATGTGTTTCATGAAAACATCCAATTTGGAGGCGAAAGTGCAGCTCTTCCCACTGGATGTCATAAACCACTGACTTCAGTGATGGAGCCCAAGCTTCTGGGCCAGTTGAGATCTGGCTCTGGCAGTTCCTGGCTGCAATCCCTTCTGGACTTCTGGATGCTGGTCCCCCTGGCAGCTCCTCCCAGAGCTCCTGGACTCTTGGGGGGTCTCCAAGTCCTCCTGGGCTACCAGTTCTCCAAGTATGCCTTGAGCCACCCTCAGTAAGGCTCAGGACTAAACCACTGGTACAATTTAAATAAAAAGCATCTCAGCCCTCTGGCAGCTAGCCCCTAAACTCTCTCTAGGTTAAACACAAAACAAGGCCACTTACCTGCATCAAAAGCCTCTCTCTGCCCCAGGCAAATTCCCCTGTTCCCAGGCCAGCAGAGTTTCTTATCCAGTTTCACTTTATGTTCAGGAGCCCTGCTGTTCTGTTATCAGGAGCTCCTACCTCCAAGGCTTTCCAAGCTGGACTGCCTGACTGGCTTAGGTGCTGAGCTTATATGGCTCAATCCCAGCCCCCTTCCTGTCAGGTGAATCCTTAAGCAGCCCCCTTTGCCACCTGCAAGACACCTCTCAGGCTGCTTGCTCTTTTAAAGGGACAGGCATACCTCAGTGCCCTGTCACACCCACCGTCAGTGCAGCCCTGTCAGCTGCATGTGCAACTCAGTACCTTATTTCCACTGGCCACACATCCCAGACTCTCTCTCTTGCAGCTCAAGGCATCAGTATTACTGCATTTACCAAAATCCAAGATGACTAAATATAAGATGACCACCCCCACCCCCAATTAGATTCTATAAATGGAAAATTATAAATTGCTTATTTTCCATGTAAAGTATCTAATTATTGGAAGGTCATCTTAAGTTGCTCTGTATTGCTTCCAGTGGGTGCTGTGGCTCTGGTCATAGGAACCAGGAACAGGAGATTCGGTGACTAGTACTTTCAAGGCTCTTTGGGGTGCAAGGAAGCCTTAAGGCTTTGGGTGCCTGGGAGGGCACAGATGCACAGTTGGCCCGTAAGGCTACAAGTGACCTATGGAAGAAGAGACAGGCCAGGAGGGCCCATTGAAGTTGAGGGCTGCAATGAGACAAGTGAGGTCCAGGAGGGACCTGGTGGTGATGTGATCACCACAAACTAAGGCTGTTTCTAAAGCCCACGGGCAGCCTCCCTTACATAATCTCCCATGAGAACAAGGCATGGTAGGCAAGCAAACAAGGAAGGGCTGTATTAGAGTTTGAGCTGGGTAGAAGCCACACCGCCCAGAAAGCGTCACAGCTGCATAGGGCACGGTCCTGCCACAGTGGGCAAGAGGACATACGAGGTTCAGGAACGGGGAGGGTACTGGCCAAGGGAATGTCATTGTATGCTCTCTGTCATTGGCATCACTGCACAGCCAGATGGATCTGTGTAATGCTTCTGCAGATCCAGTTCAGGAAATGGTTGTGGCAGGAACATGTGCTTTTGCTGCAGCCCTTTCTGGTCTGACCTGCACAGAGTCTCCTGGAAACAGAGGTGTGCAGGGCAGGTAGAACTGTCCTGCATGCCTCTGTTTTCAGGAACAACCTTACAGCCAAACTGTGAGAATTGGCTGCAAGAGAAGGGTATGTGTCACGGCGGGGTCCTACAGGAGGACCGTGATCTCCTTAAGGCCCCCTCTCCATGCCAAGTCGGCCCAAGGGCACCCTCGGTTTCTCGCCCGTCACGTCTTTGATGTTAGATAAGGTTGGGAGGCTGCCTTACGTCTCCTTGGGCACAGTTAGTTGGGACCTCCGTCGCCCTGGTTTCCTGGACTCTCCAGGGGTCTCCCTGTATGATGGGTGCTTCCCGGGCACTCTAGCCTTACGGGCTGTGTGTGGCTCCAACCTCCCCTGATACCACGCCCCAAGCCTCGCAGTTGGGATAGACGTTGGTCTGTCAAATACACTCGCCCGCTCTCTCGGGGCCTCCTCTGTGCACTTGCCCGCTCTCTGGGGCCTCCTCTGTGCACTCGATAAAGCCGCCCCTCTCCTGGGGCCTTCTGTGCCCACTCTGGGACTTTTCGGTTATGCCACATGTCTCTCGGGCCCACCGCACTGCTACCCCCTTTCTCCAGGGCTCACCGCACTACTACCCCCTCTCTCTGGGGTTTACCGCAGTACTCCACCCTTCTCCAGGGTTTACCGCAGTACTATGCCTTCCTCAGGGGCTCGCCACACCCGCCCCAGGGCTTCTCAGTAGTACCCCTTTTCTGGGGCTCGCCACGCCCGCACTGGGGCTTCTCAATAAGGCGCTCCCCGCTCTGGGGCTCACCGTGCCCAACTTGGGCTTTCCAATAATGTTGCCCCCCTTTCTGGGGCTGGGGTCTATGTACCCCCTATGCTGCGTCCTCACACTCCGCTGTGAGTCCCCGATGAGGATACTGCGCCCTCCCTGGTGCTGGGGTCCCCATGCCACCGTGGGTTCCCCCTGAGGCCTCCTCCAACCCCTTATAGCCTCACCCTAGCCACTGGTGTAATACATAACAACACAAACTCCAGCCTCCTGGCTATAACAACATTGCTCAACTCCGGCCAAGCTGTACTTGCCGTTAGGCTTCTCCTCACATCGTAACTCCAGGAGCTCCTGCCCCTCTGGCTGCTGGCAGGGAACTGCCAGCCTGGCCTCAGCCCTGGGCTTTATAAGAGCCAGGCCTTGCCCCTTACAGCTGGCTGACTGCTGTCAGGTGTGGGTCATTTGCTGCCTCCAGTTGCCCTGGCAACCCGCAGGTGGGCTCTTATTCCCTGCTAGGGCTCTTTTCTCCGGCAGTTTCCCCTCTCTAGGAGCAGGGCACCTCAGTGCTCTGTGACAGTATGCCTGCCTGCATTTCATCATGCAGACAGGCTTACTGGTTCTGCTGCCGGTCTTCTCTGTTCAGCTCCAGTGTGCCTCCTGAAAACTAAGATGGCAGATTCACTCTGTGGCAGCAGCCTGGAGACAGATGCCACCTTCACCAGGTAGAACTGCCCCACACATCTGTTTTTAGGTTACACATTAGAGTTGAACCAGTAAGAGTTATGGCAGAATTGGCATGCCGGTCTGCACAAGGTAGTGCAGGCAGGCATGCCTCTCTTCTACAGAGTATGACCAGTCCAGGTGACATCTTGAGAGAATCTCCCCAAATATGCAGTGATTCCACGAAAGCTGAAGCTTAGTATGCTGTATGAAAAATCTTAGACCTTCTACAAAAACCTTCATCATAAAGCTAAGTTGCAGTTAGGTTGTACAAATGAAACTGGAGGTGTATAATCATATGCTCATATGAAGTTAGTAGCCAATTGCCTGTCAAGAATGATGGGAGG